CATAGTGTTATACCTAATGTACACAGGGTAAGTCAATAAGTGATTTATTAATCAATTAATATGCATCATGATCTGTGCTAAGAAATGAGGAATCAAAGGCAAAAACATGGTCCCTGACTTCACGGAGCTCATGTTCTAAATGAAGAAGTCAGACATCAAGTACCTTTATGGATTTAGTCTTTGTCATGTCGAACAACAAAGGCAGGGAACAGCAGGAACTCTTCAAGGGAAGGAACTTTAAAAAAATATACAATATTCCAACTGATCACAAAACAAATACTCATATAAACCAAACAAGTGTGATGAATTGGGCTAATTATTAGTCTAATTCAACACATAGTTAATTACCCAGCAGCAGTTGTTAGTCTGTTTTCCAGGACCAATGACATTATGGAGTGACATTTTGACTCCTTTGTGAGTTGGATTTAAGTGAGGCAGAGTTATACTGAGTCTGATGACTCAATTTCTCTTCCAAAGTCATTGAAGTTCAGTGGCAAGACAAAAGTCAAGGCAACTGATGATGTATCACGATGTAGTGAATGACCAAGCTCTATGAGGAACCTGCTTCAGCCTCCTTCATGCCATTGGAATAAATTGTTCTCATCTTCTCATTCCACCAGGGGAAGTCTTCACATACTAGAGGTAGACACCTCCCACCTCATCTACAGATCCATTGGTTACCCTCAACCTTGTTTGACCATCTAACAAGGCAGTTTTACTGGAATGTGTCTACTGTGCATGCTACAGCTTCTTGGAACCATAGGTACTTAACTTCTGAAGCCCAAATCTCAGAGACAATCTTTTGCCACTACTGTCTCTTTTCTATCTAATTTTGTTTTGATTTTTGGATTGGAGCTAACTTCTTCAGACCTCCCCACATCCTATGCTTTTAGCTCCGTTATTGTCTAACTCTTAGACTTAGCTTATTCACACTGAAAATCTGACCCAGAAAACTGAACAATGATTTCTCAGCCACAGCCCCATTCCTATCCTGTTTCCCAAACTGGAGATGTTCAATCAGAACCTTGGACACCTCCACCATGAAAGACCTCAATAGTCCTGATGCTGGCCCCACTATAAAGTTCTTGGTAAATGCTTAATGCTGTCAAATGGAAGGTGTCCCTTTTAACTATGACATCTAAAACCAAAATTAAACTAGTGGCAAAATTGTATAACAGTCAAATTCACAAAGACAGGATTGTGTATTTTGTCAATGTTATCCAATGCATTTCATAATGACACAGACATTGAGGCTTTGTTGCATAGTAGAAAGATCGCTGGATATAGAATCTGATGTCCTGGATTTGAATTCTGACCTTTCCATTTACTGCCTTGTGAAATTTTGTTTCTCTAGACATCAATTTCCTTGCCCAGAAAATGACAAGATTGAACTAGATAACTTCAAAAATTAATTTCAATTCTAAACCTCACAAAGATACTGGACTACTTTTCCATTTCCTTCTCCAGTTCATTTTACAGATGACAAAACTGAAGTAAAAAGGGTTAAGTGACTTGCCCAGGTAACACACCTAGTAAGTGTCTGAGGCCATATTTGAACTCGGGTCTTCCTGATTCCGGGCCTGATATTCCATCTACTGAGCCACCCAGCTGCCCATTAAGGTTAGGCTGAAGCTATTTTTTTTTTCATAGAAGTATTGCATAGACAGCCCCAGTGGGGGGTTTTGCATGTTCACTCTTCAAAGGCAGATTCTGATCCCAATTCTGCTGTCAGCTCACCATGTAAACTTGGATAATTCTCAATCTTCCTGAGCCTATATTCTCTCATCTATAAAATGGGATAATGAAGTCATTTTACTTGAAGGGGAACTCTACATGTTGGAGACACATTGAAAAATTAAAAAAAAGATTATGCTGAGGTGAGGAATATTTTACTGTTCTTAGTATTTCTGCATTGGAGCCCTCTAATATCTCATTGTAGGATGAAGGCTTCCTTGGGTTCTTAAAGACTATGCAAATGAAACACTAACTCTGACTTTGCTTTGGTGAGGGTCTCTTTAACTAGCATCCAAGAAGGAGCCTAGTGAAGTTCTGAGAGGTCCATGGATCAGGCTGACCAACAGTGTTAAATATTTTTGGACCTAAGATTTCACAAAAAATGTCAGTAATATAAGGATTTGGATCTACAGTGGTGGAGAGATGTGCCTGGACAGTACTTCTAAATGTTTAACAGCTGGCCCTCCTGGAGAAAAAAAAAGAATTTGTGACAAACTTTTAATTTTAAACTGCATTATTAAAATTTTCTTCATAATTTTCTAATGTTTAAGAAATTATTATAATAATAAATCAAGTCCTGATATGTTTAATCTTTTTTTCAGTCCTGTCTGACTCTTTGTGTGTGACCTGATTTGGGGCTTTCTTGACAAAGATACTGGAGTAGTTTTCCATTTCCTTCTCCAGCTTGTTTTATAGATGAGGAAATTGAGGTGAACAAGGTTATATGACTTGCCCAGGGTCACAGTTAGTAAAAGTGTCTGAGGCTGAATTTGAACTCAGGAAGAGGACTCTTCTTAACTTGCAGCCCAATGCTCTATCTGCTCTACCACCTAGCTGCCCTCCCTAATATGTGGTGCTTTATACCTTTCCAAGGTATAAATATTCACACAGAAAATTGAACAATCAACTCTCAAGAACAGGTACCAGCTGACTCCAGTATGTCCCCTGGTTGTAGCTCACATCAGGGAAACCATGGATACTTCAAGTATTATTATTAACAATGTTATGCTTTGTTCTCTTTATTTTCTGAGGTGTTCCAATTCAAAACCAAGTTACACAAGTATTCATCTAACAGGGGCAGCTAGGTAGGACAGTCTATAGAGCATTGGGCCTCAAGTTAAGAAAAATCCTCTTCCTGAGTTCAAATTCAGCCTCAGACACTTTTACTAACTGTGACCCTGGGCAAGTAACTTAACTCTGTTTCCTTCAGTCCCTCATCTGTAAAATGAGCTGGACAAGGAAATGGCAATCCACTCCAGTATCTTTGTCAAGAAAATCCCAAATACGTTCTCAAAAAGTTGGCCAGGACTGAACACCAAGAACAATATGTTTTCCCTACATGGTGAAAAAGCTTTTAGAAAATTTTGACTCTGTAACCTCACAGCATTAGGAACTTTCACCTCACAACTCTTACCTCCCAAACTTTCATTTGAAGAACAGCAGACAGCTGGATAAGGGAAGATTAAAGGATCCCCTGCTGTTTCTGAAACTCAAACCTATTGGTGCTGACAAGATGTGATAACAAACTGTGGCTATGGGTGAGGAAGAATGAGCACAAACCTGGTAAGTACAGAATCATAGGGAGCAAGAACATTTTTGACACAGTGTGGTTGGGGGAATCTAACTATGGCTTAGGAGAGGAGAGGAATCCCTGAGATTGAGACCCCAGACAGAATTCAGAAAATAACAGTGAGGAGAACCTGAGGCCTACCGCCACATTACCCACAACTTGGAATTAAAACTTGAGTATAATAATATTGAGGTGCTAAAAATAAAATAAGACAAATTAAAAATAAAAAATGAATAAGCAAAGGAAATAGAACCCAAACATAGATAGCAACTTTGGTATAAAAGAAGATCTGGGTTCATATTCAAAGGAAGATAGTGAGGTTAAAAAAAAAAGCCACTCCTGACCTAAAGAGTAATGCCAAATTGTCACAAGCATAAAAAGAAATCTTGGAAGAACTTTAAAAGGAATTCCAAAATCACATAAGAAAGAACAAGGAAAAAATTTTAAAAAGTGATTCAAGAAAATTATGGAAGTACAAAATAGAAAATATTAATACATTAATACAAAATCTGAAGGAAGAAAATAACTTCTTGAAGAGTAGAATTAGGCAAGTGGAATCGAATGATGCTATAAGACACCAACATATATTAAAATTTTAAAAAAATAGAAGAGATTCTGAAACATTTTATTAGAATAACAACTAATCTGCAGAAGAGATCGAGGAGAGATGATGTATGAATTGCTGAACTACCCAAAAGTTATGGTAAAATAAAAGAATCAGGATACAATATTACAAGAAATTATTTAAGGAAAATTGCCCTGACATTCTAGGACAAGAAGGTAAAATAGAAATAGAATGAATCCATCAATTACCTACTGAAAGAGATTCTAGGAAGAAAACTTAGAGGAATGTCACAGCCAAGTTTCAAAATTCCCAGTTTAAAGAGAAAATATTGCAAACAACAAGAAAAAAAATTTTAAAAATTTAAATGTAATTTTAAAAATTAAAAAAAACCCTACCAAATCAATTACTAAGTGAAAACTATGGGCCAATCCCAACCTCATAATCACAGACCTCTCCCTCTGACTTCCTAAGTTGTTTCTAGAGGGAAGAATGTCTCACCTTGACCTTTTGTTGGCTCTGCCACTTCAGAATTCAATTTGTGTAATTATTTTCAAATTATCTGGAAGGGAATTGTTCTCTTTATTTTCTGAGGTGTTCCAATTCAAAACCAATTGTAGTACTTTTTTTACTCAACTATTTTAACTCTGCCACTAAAAATAAAGGTTAAAGAAATAGCACAATCAAATTCTGTGTAATCATATGAAATGGAAATTGGAAATTCCCCTTTAAATTAATAAGATCACTCAAATAAATAGGTTCAGTTCAAATCTCGGTCATGACCGTTCCATATCTCCTGAGTGTTCTTGGCCTAGCATTCCAGGAACTAGCCATTCCTAGGTCACGTTGACATGGAGGGTTGGCTCCTCTCCTTGTGAGACGTGATGTTATTAAAAAACAAAATACCAAGCCTCAGGCGGATGGGAGCGTGGCTAAGGTCAGATGTGTATTGGACAAACCATGAATAGCGTATGCATCAAAAAGGGCTTCTTGGCCCCAAGCCTTCTTTGTTTAGAACAATATAAAAACACTGCGTCCTGTAAGCCCACTGAGCCTCACCCGCGGGAAGGACGCTTCGCCCGGGAAAATCTTTACACAATTCAAGTTTGTACAGGCTGCAACGGGGCTCCCAGCCGTTGATTGACTTTGGAGGTTCCCTTGAATTGGTGATGTATTCTCTTCCATTACCGACTCTCTTGATCGGTGCTATATTATTGATTGTTCTTATTATTTATGCTTTCTATGCAAATTCAAACTATCTGTGCTTTGCTTCTTCTAAATAAATTATCTATTTCCTATTATTTTCTGGTGCATTGGAGAGTGTCATTTATAGGAGCGAATCCGAACCTCACTAAATCATATTAATACATCATAAAAACCTGAATCTACTGTAATATTTGATATAAGATTCTGTATTAAAGTTCTGAATGGACACTAGAGGAACAGCTTCTAGAATCACATGCCAACCTCACCAAAGTTATCTCATTTCACATTGCAAACAAGAAATAATTAAGGAAAAATAACATTTCAAAGTTATACTAAGTTTTGCATTTCCTCTTTACTTCTTACTTGAAAGAAACTATTTCTCTAATATCTCTCTTTGAAAGTTATCCTCAGAGACTCATAATTCCTCATCTACATAGTGAAAACAAAACAATTATTTATATTTGTATTCAACTAGCATTACTGGTAGCATTGTTAACATTTCCTATGTGGCAAAGTCTTGCTTCCAGTACTTGCTATATAGTACCTTGCTACTTTTTATCCTCCCTCCCTTTTTAATATAAGAAGGAAGAAAGAATCACATATTTATCAGTTTCCTACTATTTGCCAAGCACTTTAAAAACATGATCTCATTTGTTTTCACAACCACCTTGGAGGCAGGTGCTTTAATTGTCTCTGTTTTATAGATGATAAAATAGAGGAGGTGGAGGTTTGGTGACTTGCCCATGGTCACACAACCAGCTAATGTCTAAGGTCATATTGGAACTGTGATCGTTCTGATTTCAGTCCCAGCACTCAAAGATGACTTTAAATCATTTAATCCTTGAAACAAATCTCTATAATAGCCACTGAAAATTTAATTACATTTTTATTGATTAGGAAGCTCAGGATTAGTGTTTAGATAATGTACACAAGGTCATATAACTGATAAGTGGACCTAGTATAATACAATTGAAACCCAGGTCCTCTGCTTTCTAATTACCAACTTTTCACTATAGCATAGTTCATCACTGCTAGCATGGATATGTAACCTTGGTAGTTTTTTCTTGCCCTTAAATGAATGTAAAATATCTTGATTGGAAAATAGTCTTTACCTGAAGGAGACTTAGGCTTATGACAATTTAGAAGGGAAAATATTTCTAATAACACAAGGAATCTCTTGATTATATATGAAAAGCAAATGTCACAGCACTGGATAAGATGAAACTAAATTAATAGTTTAGTCAAAGATGTCTCTAATCAGTAGTTTTATTACTTCTAAGAAAAAAGGCACCTTGCATATTCCATTTCTCCTGAGTATAGTAAAGTCTGGGTCTTAGCCAAGCATGATATTTTAGGGTATGAACATATCTAACATCAGTGGATTGGTCCATTTACTTGGGGACCTCTTCTATCACATTTTGCAATAATGTTGGAGACAATATTTTTTCTTTTGTTTTCAAGGCCATTGGGTTACAATTGTGTTATGTAAGTGTTTAAGTTGATTGTGTACTGGACATCACCCATTACCTTTACATACGGTTAAATTTAATGCTATAATATACAATTTAGGAGGGAATAACTGCTATACCAGCCATTCTAAATTTAAATGCGTGACTTTGTATGTGGTCTTAACAAAATCAGCATATTGATGAATGATGGTCAAAAGTCCTTCTCCTTTTGAAACAAATTAATTACAAGACTTATGGAGTCAGGTCAGAAAACATCTATTGGATTTTTTTTCTTTTTTAAGTAGACAATTAAGTCAAAGTTTTATTTCTTTTTCCAAAGAAAGAGAATTTTTTTAAACCACCAGATTTGTGTGGGCATAAGATGAGTATTGCAATTAAAAAATTGTGCATCCAATATTTCCATTTTTTTGCACTTTAAGCAAAAACAATATAGGGCACTTTTGTTTTTTATGACCCTATTTTCTTTCTGACATTTGTCATGGTTAATGATGCGGTAGCAACATATTATTCGCAAGTTAATCAGCCCACAAATATATACGTTGACCACATTGCTAGATGTCACAGATCTGAGTGTGATTCCCCTGTAAGTTCAAGCTGTAGAAAGATTGCATGTCCCTTCCATACTCATTGCTGCCTCATTAAAAAGGGATGCTTACTTGTTAATATTCTCAGGATTCAAGCAAAATCATATATATTGTCAGCTAAAAAGAATATTGAGTGAACAAAAACGTATTCAGCTTTTTAAAGCATTGTTGCAGATTGTTATCAGCTATTCAGTTAAGGTATTCTAATGTTGGTGCTTCCAGGGATTTTCCCAAATGTAAGGTGTAACACATTTACAAAGTGTTCAAGAATAACAAGCAGGGGGGCAGCTAGATGGCACAGTGGATAGAGCACCAGCCCTGAAGTCAGGAAGACCTGAGTTCAAATCTGGCCTCAGACCAAACACTTGATGCTTACTATCTGTGTGACCCTGAGCAAGTCGTTTAACCCCAATTGCCAAAAAAAAAAAACCAATCAGGAAAGAAATTCCCCTTCCTCAGACCAATTCATTAGTGTTTCATCTATGACAACCATTGGCATTAACTTTCAAATGAAATTTTTTATGCGCTAAAAATAGATAGCATGATATAGCCACCAAGATGGTTTTGCATGTTGAGTGTGCATTTTATTTTCCTTAATAATGTGTTTATGATACCAACAAATATGAGCTGATATGTCCAACTTTCTACAGGTAAATATGATCTAGGAATTCTTGGAGTGGGTAAAATAAAATTACAAACATAAAATAATACAAAACACTATTTGCATGCCATTATTTTTCTATAATCACAGTTATGTAATACATTTTAAGAAATCATTAGTTTAGGTTTTTCTTCAATAATGGACTATTTGTCTTATAATTGCAGCACAGATTAACTCTGACCATAGATTCAAAAGATTATTAACCATACAGTACTATCAAGACAGCATTTTCAATTAAAAAAGATGATAGGTTTTTAGCACAGAGGAGCTATTGTGGATCATTTAAAGTACCAAATTCTTTTTTTTTTTCAAATTCAATCCAGCCTAATAATGATTAAGATTGATCATGACGATGATGGTAGTGATGGTGGCTGTGGTGAAAATAATTTTAATGGCATTTAAGTTTTTCATATATTAACTCATTTGATTATTAACCTATATATTCCTGTTTAATTCCAGGTCCAACCTATTATCTTTCTGCAACTTCTGTTGCAGATACATGTCATGATTTAAGAAGTCAGTGGGCCAGCCATACAACTATCAAACAGTAGTCTGGATTCTAGGTACCTAGGACCTGTCCAGTCCCTCCTTTACTGACAGCTACATTAATCTCTGCTAAGTTGTCAAGGATTTCCTTAATGAGGCCTTTTAATATTCTGGATCATGATGAAACCAACCCAACAAGTTTTTCAAAGAGAAGCATCTAGAAACTTTATCACTCACAGAGAATCATTATTACGCCTGGCTCCTATAAATGAAATTTGCTATGATAGCTGCAGATATGCCTGTGAACATACATCCGTCTGACCCATGTCTGTTGTAATATTAGTAATTAGTAAGCAACTGAATAATTTTATATCTGATTGCACTAATCAAATAATTCTCTGTGATCTCAACATGTACTTATGTTCCTCCTTTTGAAGGAGAGTCTGAAAGGCTAGGTTTTGTTCTCCTGAATCAAATAAGTCATGTAATCAGTAAATATATCAGAATCTTTTTTTTATTTTTGGCACACATACCACCTCCCTCCAGTCAGTTGTATGATTATAAAGATTATGTTTTTGAGAAAGAAATCTTTGGCAAAAGTTTGCCTACTCATATTTTGTACTATTAACAAAAATGTCCTTGATGTATTTAGCTCATTCTCATAAAGATTTTGATGATAAAATGTAGGTATATGAGTGGGTAGTTGGATGATTCCCAATTATTTTTTTTGAGATAATAATATTATGCATTTTCTAGTGGCATTCTCCTTTCCTGTACATATTGTGCAAAGCAAACTCTTTAGTGATTCAAGATTGTGTCACCTCCAACACTGACCTTGGTCCTTGACACAATACAACCCAGACAATCTTTCTGTCTTTACCCTCTTACCATTTACCCTCAATCTTCTTAGCTCATGGAGGCTTAATGTCCAAATGTAATGGATCCATTGCCACAGATAATGAAAACTGATTTCACCTAAAGCAAAGAACAAACCTCCTGTATTTTTTCCTTTGTTTCCCTCCCAACAGTCCTGTTTGTGAATGCTTTTGGGATGGTGTGACTCATCTGATTTTCATGTAAAAATTTTTTGAAATCACATTATGATATCCTCTGCCTTTTGATGTTTTGTAGGGTTGATGCTATAATGCAGCAGGGAATGGGACATAGAGTGAAGGGCTTGGTGTCAGGAAGACCTGGGTTCAAATTGCATCTCTGATTTTAGTACCTTTATGATCACAATAAGTCACTTAAACAGTATATTCCTGAGGTAACTTTGTAGGCTGTGTGGCATAGTGGAAAGCAATGAATTCAGAATCAAAGAACGTAGCTTCAAATATTTTCAGATACTTCCTACTTGGGTAAACTTGTACAGTTTAATAACTTTAAATCTCGTTTTCCTTTCCTTGAAAAAAAAAGTGTTGCATAACATCTGAGATCTCTTCCCTTTCTATTTCAATGATACTGATTGTATAACAAATCCACAGATAAACTTTGAACTGCATTAGTACAAAGAGTTTCTACAATGGGAGATCCCACATACATGAAATCATGTTGGTTTTGATCATCTGACATCTTCCATTATAGTGTTTTAAGAATGCATTTTTACTCTAAACCTGTATTGTCCTTGTCTGTTTTTTTTTCCTTTTTGCTTGAACAGAAGACTAACATTTGCTGCTTAAAGTAGTTGCTAGGTTCTCTGTGTTTCACTGGGGATATGATTCTTTTGAATTTATTAAAAGGAAATTATGATAATCAAAGCCAACATAAAGTTTGAGTGATAAAGGTTGTTGTTTTTAATCACTGAAATTAACCAAGAAATAATCAGTCCAGAATTAGTTGTGGATTTTCAAGCAAAATCCTCCTCCCTAAATCATAATAGAGTATTATAATTTCTATTAATCATTTTATTGCTGGCATTATGGTTTTGCCATTTTCATTGAATACCCTTAATATTTTAATAACATATGATTTTGTGATTCTGCTATATTCTGTGACTTCAGCACAGTATAATTGACATATTACAGTACTAGAAGCTTAATTCCAGTTTACCATTGCCAAGTCTTTGCTGGAATTGCTGCATCACCAGCTACAGAGATTGAGGGTAGGAGTGAAACAAAGAAGAAGGAATAGTAACCTACAATTTATTTCCCATACTATTGCTGCTTTAGTATTCTTTTTAAAACTCATGTGTGAATCGCATAGCTTGAAGTTATAAATACAGATTTGTATTCTGTTATTAAATCAAAACCATGCACTCACAGCAGGTGGCTATGCTTTAAATCTCTTGCCAGTGTCTGCTCAGCTTTTATGGATCAGTCCAATTATTCACAGCTCTGCATCCTCACAACACCTAAGGTATGCAATTCTCACTGACTGCCAAGTGCATATTAACAGAGAAAGGAGTTTGTTAACTTAAATCTGAAAGCACTTATCCTATAATAAACAGACTTAGAGAAAAAGAAATATTATAACACAGCAAAGCTTTATAAAGTGTTTAGAGGTTAAGAACTGTGACACTGTACTAAAGAATCTGTTTTTAGTATTAGGAACTTAGGGATGTAGAGGTAGAAGGTACATTTAATCACATAGTGCAAATCCTCCATTTTACCAATGAGCAATTTTACTCCTACAGAGCTGAAGGAAATTGCCCAAGGTCATATAGGCAGCAAGGGGCAGAAACATGGTATTTCAGACTTCAGTTCCATTACCATTTTAATGACACCATACTCTCTCATTGAAATAGCATGTTGTATACCTTGCATTATCCACTGCTACAACTATAGACTTTTATCAGCTGTTGCAACTAGTTTTTCCATCTCTTCTATAACAAAAAAGAAAAGAATAAAAATATATTCTTGGGATATCTGAACTGTTCTAGTAAATAATCATTTTACTTCGATCCACCAACGAAAAGACAAGTATGTAAGAAGAAAGCAATTGAATAGTACTCTGAGATTTGAAGATGAGTTCCAACATTCAGTTAACATTTTCATCCTTATTACAATGGCTGCCTTTCAATGTTGCATTTGATAAAAGGTAACATGCAGAGCCAGGAATAAAATTATGCCATCAGTTGCAAAGGGGCATTTATATTGTTTACTAGTAAGCCATTAAAAAAGTCACTCCCTACTTGTCGTTCTAGAGTCTGATGCTCTCAAATTCTTATCAGGTTGAAGGGAGTTCCCTTAATTATAGCATCACATTTGTATATGCTTTAGTCTAACTCACCAACCAACGCCTCTTAAAAGAATTTTTCATTTTTCCTCACAGATGGCATTTTTCAAATTCACACACACCCAGCCCTTGAATTCAAGCAAGGATTATATTTTGGATTTGGGCCTGAGCAAGAACAGAAAAAGGAAAAGTTATTTTGATTTCATTCAAAGAGTGAGTATGCTATATTTCTATTTTATTCAAATGTCTGAATATAGACATTTATGTAACCTATTCACTTAGTAATGTCTTGATTTTTTATGTTTGAGATGCAATGTATTAATAATAACTCAGTTCTTGTGTGCATTGAAATTTTGAAAGCATGTTTCTTAAAAAAAAACAATGTGGTAGGATAAGAGAAGTCTTGTTTTTCCCGTTTTAGACAGATAAATACTAAAATTAGGAGTAGAGATGTGCCTTTTCCAAAACGATACAAGAAAGATGTATAAGAAATAGGATGTGAACCCAGCTTTTCTGATTTTCACTATAATCTTCTTCCCGGGGCTGTGCTGATAAAATTTTAACAACTGGTTAGCCATTTTTCTTTAAACGAGCTAACAAGACACTTTTAAGCTTAATATTCATTTCTAGCACATTTACCACCACTTTCTTAATCTAGGCAGTCAACAAAGGAATAATCCAAACCCAGATTTCTAATATATGTCACTTTCTGAGGTACAATTTCTCATAGTTAAAATTTAAAAACCAGCTCTCCCTGGTTTGAGTTAGTACCATCATGACCCTGGTTCTTTGCAATATACCACTCTGCAACTGAAGTGTAGTATGTGACAAAACAAACAAACAAACTGTGAATAAACATGCTAAATATTGAGTTGGCTAAATAAATAACATGCTAAATTCAAACTGTTTGAATTCTAGTTTGACTATTGATTACCTATTTGATCTTAGACATATCACTCAAACTTTCTTGGCCTGTTTTCCCATTCATAAAATGAGATATTTATTATACTTTATTATCTCTAAGATTCCTTTTAGCTCCACATTTTGTTTGGGAGCAGGTGGTGATGGGTATGATTAGAGGCTGAGTAGAAGACAAGGTTAACATGAGCACCACCAATGAAGCAAGGTTTTGGAAAGTCTTGCTAGATAGAGAAGTTTAGGTTCATTGTGGTATGTAATAAGAACCATGAAATATGGTGACCATCTGTGTTAGAAGTGACTAAGCTGTATGATATTAGGCACATCACCTTACCTCACTAGGCCACATTTTCTCCTCTAAAAATGAAAGGTTATACTAGACAATATCTAAGATTCTTTCAAAAACTAAATTTATGATTCAGCCACAGCAAACAAGTCTCTCTCTCCCTCTCTCTCTCTCTCTCTCTCTCTCTCTCTCTCTCTCTCTCTCTCTCTCTCTCTCTCTCTCTCTCTTTCTCTCTGTAACTTTCCAGCAAATCACTCAACCTCTCTGAGACTTTATAAAGGGACATACTAACACCAATTTCTGCTATGAGGCACAATTAAGTAAACTGGTTAAATCTCTTGGTAAGCCACAAATATGTGTTTATTTATATAAGGAAACACCAATAGCAAAAAGAAAAATACCCTAGGTTCATATTATGAGAACATAAAGATCAAGATAGAAATTCTGAAGAGGACAACATTGTCAACAAACCCACATCTGTAACCTCAAAAGGGAATATGAACTGGTCTGAAGCCCAAAAAGCCTTCTTAGAAGAGCTCAAGAAGGATTTTAAAAGTCAAATGAGAGAGGTAGAAGAGTCCTTAAAAATACAATTGTCCAAGTGGAAAAAAAGTACACTGAAGAAAACAAGTCCCCGAAAAATATAATTGGCTGAGAGGACTGAAACGTGGGCAGCTATGGCAGTTTCCAGACTTCTCAACCCATGAACACCAAAGACAACTTAGAAGGTCAGTGGGAAAAGTCTGTTTCTGTGGTGCTGAGAGAGGAGCCTGGGGTCTTACCTCCAGTTCCCCAAGAGGTCAGCCATGAGGGGGCATCTGCCTCCTGAGCTTCCTGTCCACAGACTGAGGGGGAATCCAGTGGCTGTTGAGAGAGGGATTGCAGGGATCTCTTTGCCAGTGTTGAGGCAGGAATCTCTTGCTTTGCCCATGCTTGGATCTGGGTCACAGTTCTGGGTGGCGGTCCTGGGGTGAGGAGGAGCACTGGCATGATAGAGCTTGTAGTGGCTGTATAGAGAAAACCCTCCTCACAATTACAGAACAGAAAGGAGTGCTTATGGCCACTAATAGGCCAGAGCACAGTCCAGGAAAGGAGTAAACACCTCACCCCTTATCATACCACTTTGGAAGAACTGAAAATTTACAGGTCCCTACAAGTATCTCTGAAAACAGCTGTACAAACCCCCAAAGCTTGGGACAGTACATTCTCCACATTGGAAGCAGACTCTTACCTTAACAAAGAGTTTAAAACTCAAGTAATTTGCTGGCATCATAAGCAAGCAGCACAAAAAGAGTCAGACTATATTATCTTACTTTGGTGACAAAGAAGATCAAAACGTACAACCAGAAGAAGAAAACAAAGTCAAAGCTCCTACATCCAAAGCCTTCAAGAAAAATATGAATCAGTCCCAGGCCCAGCTCAAGAGGGATTTTGAGAAGCAAGTAAGAGAAGTAGAGGAAAAACTGGGAAGAGAAATGAGAGTGATGCAAGAAAATCATGAAAAACTAGTCAACAGCTTGCTAAGGGAGACCCCAAAAATAGTGAAGAAAATAGAACCTTAAAAAATACCCAGTGGCATCTAAGTAGTTCAGTGGATAGAGACCTGGCCCTGGAGTCAGGAGGACCTGAGTTCAAATCTGGCCTCAGACACATAGTACATCCTAGCTGTGTGACTCTGGGCAAGTCACTTAATCCCAATTTCCTCACTTTAAAAAAAAATAGGCTATGGGAGCCAAGATGACTGAGTAAAAAGGTAATTGCTCTCACCCTCCCCTATCAGCCTCTGAAAACCCAGAACATATCACCTCAGAAGAAAAAAACACCCTGGAACAGCTGAACTAGAAGAAAGATGGGAAACAGCAGTGCAGCAGCCCAGCAAACGGGTCTCCCAGTGCCTCAGCAAAAATAAGGGAAGCAGCCCTACAAAGGGCCCCAGGCGGATAAGCACCCTCCCGCATTCATCTGAAAGGAGCTGAATAATGCAACCTAGAGTCTTCCTAAAGTATGAGCCTTGCTGATTCCAACCCAACACTAGGTAAGCTGTCAGAACTCTACAGCTTCCAACTGTCAAACAGGAAGTGATCCTGAAGGCCAGGCAGTAGAGCAGGCAAACACCAACACCTGGACTTCCAAATGCCTCAGTGAGGGCTGGGGGAACAGGTGGAATCCAGCTCAGAAAAGCACCAGGTGCCTTGGCACTCTACCACAAAGGAATCTCCCAGTGCATTAGCAGAAAGGAGGGAGGCAGCATTGCAAGCAGCCCCAGGCACATAAACACCCTGAGCACCCATCTAAAAGGACCTGAAGAAAGCTAAAGGAAAGGAAAAACAGGCAACCTAGAATTGCCTGAAAGTTCCAGGCTTGCTGATTCCAGCCCAACACGAGGTAAGCTGACAGTAACCTACAGCCTCCAATCGCCAACATAAGAGGCCCCAGCACACAAAGCCAGTGACCAAGACCCAAGCTCCCAACACAAGAAGCTTGGGTCAGTGCCCTCTGTTCCCCAGCAGGAGAGCTCAATCTCTTTAAAGGCCTGGGAATAAAGAAACCATGAGTAAAAAGAAACATACCATAGATTCATATTATGAGAAGAGTGAAGATCAAGACAGAAATTCTGAAGAGGACAACATTGTCAACAAACCCACATCTGCAACATCAAAAGGGAATATGAACTGGTCTGAAGCCCAAAATGCCTTCTTAGAAGAGCTTAAGAAGGATTTTAAAAGTCTAATGAGAGAGGTAGAAGAGTCCTTAAAAAATACAACTGGCCAATTAGAAAAAAAGTACACTGAAGAAAACAAATCCCTTAAACATACAATTGGCTAATTGAAGAAGGAAGTGCAAAAACTAACAGAAGAAAACAATCTGTTAAAAACTAGAATTGGACAAATGGAAACTAATGACTCTACGAGAGAGCAAGAATCAGCAAACAGAAACAAAAAAATGAAAAAAATAAATGAAAACGTAAATACCTCATCAGTAAAACAATCGACCTGGAAAATCAACTCAGGAGAGACAATTTAAAAATTATTGGACTACTTGAAAATCATATGAAAAAAACGCCTGGGCAGTATCTTTCAGGAAATCATAAAGGAAAACTGCACAGAAGTCTAGAATCAGAAGGGAAAATAACCACAGAAAGAATCCACCCATCACCACCTGAAAGAGATCCCAAATTGACAACACCAAGGAATATAATAGCAAAATTCCAAAATTACCAGATGAAAGAGAAGATGATGCAAGCAGCCAGAAATAATCAATTTCAATATCATGGAACTACAATCAGGATTAGGATTACACAGGACCTTGCAGCTTCTACATTAAAAGACTGCAGGGCATGGAACATGATATTCTCTAAGGCAAAGGAGCTTGGAATGCAGCCAAGGTTCAATTACCCAACAAAAATGAGCATTATTTTTCAATGCAGGAGATGGATTTTCAATGAAATAGGGAACTTCCAGACCTTCCTTATAAAAAGACCAGAGCTCAACAAAAAATTTGATCTTCAAATACAACATCCAAGAAAGACATAAAAAGGTAAATGGGACAGAAAGATACCAAATGTTGTTAATAAGGGCAGACTGTGTACATCCCCACAACGGAAGATGACACTTGCAATTCTTCAGAACTGTATTTTTATTACACCATGTTAAAGGAGTATACATAAAGGGGGTGGATATTAGTTGACTTTGATGTAATGATTAAAAAAAACTAATCAAGTGGTTAAATGGACCCAAGTAAGTGAATTAGTCTGACCTTAGAAAATATACTGAGAAAGGAGGAGGCAGACAAGGGCAAATTACATTACAGGAAAAGACAAAATCCTATTACAGCAGAGGGAAAGATGGGAAATGAGGTGAGCATTGTTTGAAACTTACTGTCATCAGATTTGGCTCAAGAAAGGAATAACATAATTAGGTAAAGAAATCTAACTTGCCCTATAGGCAGTAGGAGGGAAAAGGGGAAAGAAAAAGGAGGAGGGATAAAATGGAGGAAAGAAGGAGTAAGG